GCAGCATGCTTGCCTTTATGATGGTTGGATTGTAAATTGCAGGCAGAGGGAGATTGCGGCTTTCTGGGGGATCAGTACCACAGAGGGCTGGGCCACCTAATGTCAGGGCTAGACCCCCATCCTCTTGCCAAAATAGTCCCAAAATGCAGTTGCATTGCAACTCTCAGATCTGTACTGCAGGCTTACATTGGCCGTGTATCAGTTTCACTAATACTTTCCATCAAAGGTGATAGGCAGTTGCAGTTGGGTGAAGTGAGGGCTGGACCATAAAGAAGGCTGATCGCCGAAGAATTGATGCTTTTGAATTATGGTGCTGGAGGAGACTCTTGAGAGTCCCATGGACTGCAAGAAGATCCAACCGATCCATTCTGAAGGAAATCAGCCCTGAGTGCTCACAGGAAGGACAGATCGTGAAGCTGAGGCTCCAATACTCTGGCCACCTCATGAGAAGAGAAGACTCCCTGGAAAACACCCTGATGTTGGGAAAGATGGAGGGCACAAGGAGAAGGGGACGACAGAGGACGAGATGGTGGGACAGTGTTCTCGAAGCTACCAGCATGAGTTTGACCCAACTGCGGGAGGCAGTGGAAGACAGGAGTGCCTGGCGTGCTCTGGTCCAGGGGGTCACGAAGAGTCGGACACGACTAAACGACTAAACAACAACGAAGCCCATCGGCTACCCTCACCTGGTTTAGCCAGCCAGTCAGACCCATTCCCAGGGTGTGGCCGCTGTCGCATTCTGACAGCTTCTGGGAGCCACAGGTGAGACCTGAGTGCAAGAGGGGGACAAAAGGTGGACAAAACACCCCAAAAGATCGTGATATGTCCTCCACCAGAGGTACTAGCCTTTTCCTAACACCCCAAACACCAGAATAGGCCATCAGATACCCTCAAACGTATCCTGAATACATCTCTTCCACCTTGAAATTTCTCTGCTGGGTGTCAAGGGCCTTTGTGCAAATACAATTGCATCTACCGTAATCTTAATTGCCCAAAGGCCAATGAGGACATCACATAATCACAGCATTTGTTTTGTAAGCAGCAGCCCAGGCAGGGAAGTGAGGGGCAAGAATTAACCCTTTCTCTCCCAGCTGCCATCGCCTCTTTCCAGGGACTATCCCTTTGGTGGCAATGGAAGCTTCCCGTGCAGGGAGAGAGAACTATGTTTCTCCTTCGAACTCCCTACGATCCCCTCCTACAGCTGCTCTTTACATAAACTAAAAAGAGTGCACGTTCTATTTATTTATTTATAACAAAAATATTTGTATACTGCTGCCTCATTTTTTAAAAAAATCGAAGCGGTTTACAGCAATAGCAACATAAAACTGCGCAATAAAAATGCCATTAAATAGTAAAAAACCAAACGTCCATTAACCATTGCAGAAGGATGTAGTATTCACTGTCTTCATGGACCTGGCAGAATAGAAATATTTTCAGCAGGCATTTAAAAGTTGGCACAGAAGGTGTCTGCTGAATCTCCATTGGCAGGATGTTCGACATGACACTAAAGACCCTGTTTCTTGTTGCAAAATGAGCCTCATCAGCTTGGGGAACAACCAACAACAGCACTCCTGCAAATGATCTCAGACGGACGCAATTTTGCTGAGATTCCTGCATTGGAGGGGTTGGACTAGATGACCCTCGGAGTCGCTTCCAACTCTACAATTCTGTGAACCTCACAGGCTATATTGCTCTTTTTTTAAAAAAAGTGCTTCCTCCATGTAAAAAACCCCTCAAAATGTCCTTTTATACCAGAAGGGGATGAGTTCTACAGTGGTACCTCAGGTTAAGTACTTAATTCGTTCCGGAGGTCCGTACTTAACCTGAAACTGTTCTTAACCTGAAGCACCACTTTAGCTAATGGGGCCTCCTGCTGCTGCTGCGCCGCTGGAGCACAATTTCTGTTCTCTTCCTGAAGCGAAGTTCTTAACCTGAAGCGTATGTAACCCGAGGTACCACTGTACTACTATATATTTCCATCAGAGAAATGTTATGTGACCCCCGAGCCAAGGAGATAAGTAACTATACAACCTTTAGAAGATATCTCAAGGCAGTCATGTACAGTGGTACCTCAGGTTAAGTACTTAATTCATTCCAGAGGTCCGTACCTAACCTGAAACTGTTCTTAACCTGAAGCACCACTTTAGCTAATGGGGCTTCCTGCTGCTGCCGTGCTGCGGGAGCCCGATTTCTGTTCTCATCCTGAAGCAAAGTTCTTAACCTGAAGCACTATTTCTGGGTTAGCAGAGTCTGTAACCTGAAGCGTATGTAACCCGAGGTACCACTGTATAGTCTTCTCTTCAGGGTTAAGGGTTTAGGTCACAAGCAGGGGTTTGTTTGTGTGTGTGTGTGTGTGTGTGTGTGTGTGTGTGTGTGTAAGTGAGTGAAATGTGGACCGACTCCTTGTCTCTGGAGTGCAGTCCATGACTGTGCAAACGGTGTTTCGTTCGCCTTCAGACCTATGTGAAACAACTGAGAGAGCAAACACCTACATGGTACCTGTTGCTAAAGAGAAGCCCAGGATGAAGAAAGTGATTTAGCAAGGAATCCCTTTGTTTGCCTTGTCACTTGCAATTTCTGAGAATTTGGTGAGCACAGAGTTCTTTCTGTTGATGCAGCAAGGGACCTTCGTTTGTGCAAGAACACAGAAGTTTATGTTGCGTGGAGTTGACTTTCTTCCGTTGCCTACAGATAAACTGGATCTTGCTTGGCCAAAACCACCTTAGAAGAAGAAGAAGAAGAGTTTGGATTTGATATCCCGCCTTTCACTCCCTTTAAGGAGTCTCAAAGCGGCTAACATTCTCCTTTCCCTTCCTCCCCCACAACAAACACTCTGTGAGGTGAGTGGGGCTGAGAGACTTCAGAGAAGTGTGACTGGCCCAAGGTCACCCAGCAGCTGCATGTGGAGGAGCGGAGACACGAACCCGGTTCCCCAGATTACAAGACTACCGCTCTCAACCACTACACCACACTGGCTCTCTCATGTATCTTCATGTATTTATTTATCTATCTATCTATTTATCTATCTATCAATGAAACATATCCTGCTTGCTTCCTGGGGATCTCAAGGAAGCTAAGAAGCCACGATACGAAAAACAGCACTTCGGCAATAAATTATAAGGCATTCCCCAAAGAATGAAACCCCCCTATAAAGAATGAAAAGCTCATATTGGAAAGCATGTGTGTGCCTGCTAATGAAAAAAAGAGCTTGTGGCATGTTTAAAAGACAAAAAAATGTTGCAGTTTAGACCACGGGTAGCCCATGTGTGATGTCCTCAGATGTTCCTGAGCTAAAACTTGCATCATCCCTGACCAGTGGCCATGTTGGCTGAAGGGATTGTAACATCCAGCAACATCAAGTCAGCAGCACATGGGCAACGTCTTGTGGAAGCATTTATGGTGTAGATCAGGGGTAACTGACATAAAGTAAATGTAAAGGGGACCCCTGACCATTAGGTCCAGTCGTGGCCGACTCTGGGGTTGCGGCGCTCATCTCGCTTTATTGGCCGAGGGAGCCGGCGTACAGCTTCCGGGTCATGTGGCCAGCATGACTAAGCTGCTTCTGGCGAACCAGAGCAGCGCACGAAATGCCGTTTACCTTCCCGCCGGAGTGGTACCTATTTATCTACTTGCACTTTGACGTGCTTTCGAACTGCTAGGTTGGCAGGAGCAGGGGCTGAGCAACGGGAGTTCACCCCGTCACGGGGATTCAAACCGCCGACTTTCTGATCGGCAAGTCCTAGGCTCTGTGGTTTAACTGACATAGTGCCCTTCAGATGTTGCTTGACTACAACGCCCATCATCCTTTTGACTACAACACCCATAATCCTTGGCCATTGGCCCTGTTGGATGGGGCTGTCCACACTGGCTACTCCTGGTCTAGATGAAGTGGACAGTAGCCCATGGAAACTGATTTATATAGTCACAAGACTCCTTGTTGTTTTTCCTAAACCAGTCTAGCAAGGGCTACTCCTAGGGAGTTTGCCCTTAAGAACAAAACTGCCTTAGCAAAAACATACACTTGCTGCCTGCCGAAAAAACCAGCCTGTACCTGAATCAGCCAATTCAAGTTACAAGAAAAGATATTCCAACTAAACACGAGGAAGGACTTTCTGACAGTAAGAGCTGTTTGGCAGTGGAACAGACTCCCATGAGAGGTGGCGGACTCTCCTTCCGTGGAGGTTTTTAAGCAGAGGTTGGATGGTCATCTGTCCTGGATGCTTTTAGCTGAAATTCCTGCATTGCAGGGGGTTGGACTAGATGACCCTTGGGGTCCCTTCCAACTCTACAAATCTATGATTCTGTGTTGCTACCTTCCAACCACAATATTTATTAGTATTCTTCCTAGGGATAGTGAGTGCAATGATCTAAATTTGTATCTTTGTGTTTGTGTGTGTGTGTGTGTGTGTGTGTGTGTGTGTTTCTTTTTTCATTTAATTGTATTACTTGCCTTTTATTTCTTTAATATGTTGCTGAAATGTGTTGATAGTATTTTTTTAACAATAGCAATTTATTTCTACCCTGCCCATGTGGCTGGGTTTCCCAGCCACTCTGGCTTTCAAAAGAACATTAAAAACAGAAGAAAACTTCAAACGTTGAAAACTTCCCTAAACAGGGCTGCCTTCAGATGTCTTCTAAAAGTCAGATAGTTGTTTATTTCCTTGGCATCTGGTGGGAGGGCGTTCCACAGGGGAGGCACCACTACCAAGAAGGCCCTCTGCCTGGCTTCCTGTAACCTCACATCTCGCAGGGAGGGAACCGCCAGAAGGCCCTCGGAGCTGGACCTGTGTCCTGGCTGAACGATGGGGGTGGAGACACTCCTTCAGGTATACTGGGCCAAGGCCATTTATATATACAGTATATTATATATATAATATGATTTTTTGGGTCCCCCCCCATTTATATATAGGTGTGCGTGCATGCACACAAAACCTCACCAACCAAAGTTACCCTGATGAAAATACACCCCATTAAATTACTGCATTCCTTCCTTCCGACAGAAAAGGAGCTGCCTGGGAAAGTTGTCTGGGTGACGGGAGCTTCCAGCGGAATCGGCGAGGAGATGGCTTACCAGCTGGCAAAGATCGGCTCGCCACTTGCACTCTTGGCGAGAAGGGAGAACGAGCTGGAGAGAGTGAAAAAGAAGTGCATTGGTAGGATTTCGTTATCCCGAAAGCTTGTCTTTTATTTTGCTTTTAGAGTATCTGTGCCTGCAATCCCCCGCTGCAGGTGGGAAACTGTATTTTATGCATGGCAGAGGGTTGGTCTAGATGATCCGTTGGGTCACTTCCAACACACCTGCCCATCAAGCATCATCCTAAGCTGTTATGTTACAGGCTTTCTCACCCCTGCCCTGGGCCACCGTTTCCTGTACGCCTGTGCATGATAAAAGCACCAGGAGAACCCCGCTTTGCCTATCTTAACGCCTAAGGTTGGTGGGGATGGAAGTTTGCTTCCGTGTCCAGATATTTAGGACCTAATTGGTTAGGCGCAGGGCTTTTTTTCCAGCCAAAACATGCCGGAGCTCAGTTCCGACACGTCTCAGGTGGGTGCCATTGCAGCCGACGAAGGAGGCAATCATTGTGAGTTCCGGTACCTCTTTTTCTAGAGAAATAGCACTCGCTTAGGTTTTTAAACACAAACGCAAGCATGTTGAATTGTGCCTGGAAGCAAACTGGCAGCCAGCGCAGATAAGGACTCCCCTTGAAAATTCTTAGGATTTGCCTGCCCCTGAATATTAATCCAAAATTTGGGGGGCATTCTCATCCCACTTCTCCCCTGAAACATTTTTTTTGGGGGGGTCAATACAGCAAGTCTGCAACTTACGCACATTTAACGTGTGTGCATTCAGCTTTATGTGCTTGGCAATAAAATAAAAAGGGGGCAGAAATAGGGTGGGCATGCAGGAAAAAAGGCCTTCAGCAACCCCATCTCTCATTGCACCCAATGTGTTTTGACTCTATGCAATTTTGGTTTTAGGCACAATCTGTTACCCCTGAGTAAGCTGGGGGCTTACTGTACTTGAACCCAGAATGATGGTTTAACTGCTCTTTTAACTGGCAACCAAATGGTTTAAATGTTCCATCCATTGAACCCTTGCTGAGCTTGAGCTAAGCAACGATGTTGCCTAGTTGTTCTGCTGATGCAACACACCCTTTGTTCCTCCCACCCACCTTCCCCCATTATTAAAGCATTGCCAAGTGGGGGAGAGGTTGTCAGCTACTTCTAACAGTGGCATCTTGCCACAAAACAGGGGTTATTGTTTCCAAGGTCACAGTGATGGGCAGTTTATCTGTGGCAAAGGTTGTAGTCTTGCAGTGCCAGAGCCGATTTTGCAAACCAAGCACAGCCTACGTCGTATTTGCTCAACAAATGAAGGAAACAAGGTCCATGCCAATTTTGCTTATGGAGAGCATTTAGGGATTTAATCATTAACAAGTCCTATTAGATGTTGTCCAGGGCTCCTGGATTCCAGTGTGTAACCGATGGAAAGGAGAGATCAGGTCAAATGGATAGACAGCATTTGAACGTCACAGGGGTCATTTTGCTTGCAAAAATACGAGGTCCCTGCATTAGCCTTCATGATTATCCATTAACTACACAGTTTACAGTCATTTGTTCTCTGTGGGTGGAGAGGGGGAGACTGGCCTTACAGCAATGTAGAGCATTAAAAAAAATGCAGAGCTGATCAAAGGGTTCCTTCATGTGCCCACCAACCCGTTTGCAAACCCTGAAAATAGCTGCATACAGTTCAGTATAGAAATAAATTGAGAAACCTTTGAAGGCCGATTACCGTATTTTTCGCTCCATAAGGCGCCCTTTTTCCTTCCTAAAAAGTAAGGGGAGATGTGTGTGCATCTTATGGAGCGAATGCAGGGGGGAGGCAGGCAGGAAAAGGCCCCAAGAGCCTCACACAAGCTCTGCGCGGCTCTTGTGGGCTTTTCCCCAGGAGTGAGAAGGGACTGACGCAGCCAGTCGTAGAAAAGCCCGCAGGAGCCGCGCGCTCCTTAAAGGGTGTGCGGTTCCTGTGGGCTTTTGCGGGAGGTGGGGGAATTGCCATAGTCGTGCCTCTCCTGGCCACGTGGCTAAAGAAGCCAAGACAGCGAGTGGGATCCATCCCGCTGGCTGTCTTGGCTTGTGCCATAGCCGCGTGCAGCCTCTCCCGGCCAGAGGGGCTGCGCGCGGCTAAAGAAGCCAAGACAGTCCCTTCTTGCTCCTGGGGAAAAGCCCGCAAGAGCCGCGTGGAGCTTGTGTGCAGCTCTTGGGGGCTTTTCCTCCCTGCCTCCCCCCTGCATTCGCTCCATAAGACGCACACACATTTCCCCTTACTTTTTAGGAGGGAAAAGGGCGTCTTATGGAGCGAAAAATATGGTAGGTGCGCCTTATGGTCCGGTGCGCCTTATGGAGCGAAAAATACGGTGTTTTAAGATTGGGGGGGGGGACTTTAATACTAAACACCCAAGGACTCCTTTCCTGCAGAAAGCTAAACCAATATACTAAAGTATATTAATTTAACCAGCGTATCCTTTGCATTCCCAAGTCATGTTACAGCTTTTTGGAATTTGAAAGCTGGAAAATTTAACACGCCTTTCTGTCCTGGTCACCATTTGGACAGTGCAGAGCTGGTCTGACCAATAATTTAAGGCCGCTCCCAATGTTAGCATGACCTGCCAGAGGTCATGTGCAATCTGCATGGTGATTCTGTGCAACACAGGCCATGTGAGCGCCTCTTGCATCCCAAGATCTGTGGGGCTAATGAAACAGAAGAGGAAGGATTGTTTACCACTGTTTCTAAACGGCTCCTCTTCTTCCTTCTTTCCCCTCCCCGTCTTAAAAAAAAAAAACATTTAGAGATCAGCAGCCTCACTGACAAGGATATCCTCATTGTGCCGCTTGACTTGACTGACAGAAGTGCCCACGAAGCGGCGACAAAAACTGTCCTGAAGCATTTTGGAAAGGTAAGTCAGACTTTCCTCAGTGGATTGCTTAGGGAGAGGGAGGAATTTCAGGGGCACCTGCCTTGGCCGCAGTTTGCAAAGGGGCAGAAAATGGGTGTCAAAGGTCATTTGTTATAAAATGTGGGGCAGTTTGGCATTCTTTAAGCTGGCGCATGAAAAGCCAGCTCTTTATGAGATATCCAAAATTGGTTTTAAAAGCTGTCGTAAGCAGCATGAGGGGGCTGCTGTTCTAGAAACTCGAACCCAAAGCCCCTTTTGGCACATGGAACTAGTCATGCAGTTGGGATCCTGAGTTCAGTTTAAAAATAATAAAAGTATTTATATCCGGTACAGTGGTACCTCTGGTTACGAACTTAATTCGTTCTGGAGGTCCGCTCTTAACCTGAGCTACCGCTTTAGCTAATGGGGCCTCCCGCTGCCACCACACCACCAGCGCGCGATTTCTGTTCTTATCCTGAGGTAAAGTTCTTAACCCGAGGTACTACTTTCAGGTTAGCGGAGTCTGTAGCCTGAAGTGTTTGTAACCCGAGGTACCACTGTTTTTATATATCAGAATTTGCAAGCAGTGTACCTTAAAGCACTCTGATGATTTGTGGAAAAAAGAAAGTAACTTTTGTAGTTAGGAAAGTGAAGATGCTCATTGCTGTTTTTGTTAGTTTCTGCTTTCCTTCACTGTGCAGCGAAAGGGCTTGTCACGAGACAGGTGTTTACATTCCACAGTCTGTACTGTTGGAGTTTCTCATGGGAAAGGGAGACTGGATGTGACGTACACTGGTTTCCTGTTTTTCACTGTTCTTTGCAGTTTCACTGTGTGATTCTCTCCAAGCTGTCGAGGAGAGAGGATGCATCATCTTGCTCCGGCAGAGGCAAGATGTCTTTCTGTAATATACTAGCTTTGAACTGTAAATAAAGCAATATAGAGTATGTAGTACGTACTCCTCATCCTTCTGCTGGGCACGGGACTCTGCTTTACACCAACAGTTTTACCTCCCTGCCAAAAAACCAGAACAAATGCTCGGTTAAGTGCAGATACAGCCTAACCTTCATGCAAGCTTTGCACAAACAAATCAGAATGAATGCTCAATAAATAAGTCTTCGGGACAACCCCTAGGATTACCTAATTCAGCATGCTTATTTTCCTTTTACTTAGTAAAACAAAAATGAAAATTTAGCAAATTTGCAATTGGTATCTGTCTTTTGAAAGGGGAATTCTCCACAGAAAAACCAAGTTTCGGGGCTTTCCCCACCCTGTATCCTTGCAAATGCTTAACTTTTTCCCTCTTGTTCCCAAAGATCGACGTCTTGGTGAACAACGGCGGCCGTTCCCAGCGCTCCCTCTATGTAGACACGTCCGTCGATGTCTACAAGGCTATCATGGAGCTCAACTACATTGGCACCATCTCCCTAACGAAATACGTCCTGGACCACATGATACAGAGGAAACAGGGGAAGATTCTCACCATCAGCAGCGTGATGGGCATCATGGGAGCTCCCTTGGCCACCGGCTATTGCGCCAGCAAACACGCCTTGCAGGTAAGGGATCTCTTCGGGCCTTTGACTGCTCACAGCTTGTTTTGGAGACACTTATCTCTGCCATGGACTCACTAGGTGGCCTTCGGCAAATGACTCTCTCACAGACTTGGTCTCCACTTCCCCAGTGGCGTGTGGTCAGCGAACTAGGCTAGTCCCCTAAATGTTCCCTTGGTACAGTGGTGCCTCGCAAGACGAAAATAATCCGTTCCGCGATTCTCTTCGTCTAGCGGTTTTTCCGTCTTGCGAAGCAACCCTATTAGCGGATTAGCGCTATTAGCGGCTTAGCGGCTATTAAAGGCTTAGCGGCTTAGCGGCTAAAAGGCTATTAGCGGCTTAGCGGCATAGAAAAAGGGGGGAGGAGCGGGGGGAAAATCGCAAGACTTGCAAGACGTTTTCGTCTTGCGAAGCAAGCCCATAGGGAAATTTGTCTTGCGAAGCAACTCAAAAACGGAAAACCCTTTCGTCTAGCGGGTTTTTCGTCTTGTGAGGCATTCGTCTTGCGGGGCACCACTGTATCTCCTTCCCCAAGCCCAGGAAGCTTCTGACCAGCTTAGGGAGGGAAGTGTGATGCTCATGTGTGCAACATAATAATAATAAAATTTTATTTATATATATCCCGCCCTCCCCAGCTGAAGCCAGGCTCTGAGCGGCTAACAACAATAGAAGTAACACAGCATTCTAAAATCAATTCAAAGTCAAATTAATGGCAACCATTGGGCTAGAGTTCTGTGAGGATTGCCAAAGGAGGGGGTCAGGCTGTGCCTTGGCCAAAGGCCTGGTGGAACAGCTCTGTCTTGCAGGCCCTGCGGAAAGACATCAAGTCCCGCAGGGCCCTAGTCTCTTGTGGCAGAGCGTTCCACCAGATTGGGGCCACGGCCGAAAAAGCCCTGGCTCTGGTTGAGGCCAGCCTAACCTCCCTGTGGCCCGGGACCTCCAAGATGTTTTTGTTTGAAGACCGTAGGGTCCTCCGTGGGACATACCAGGAGGCGGTCCCCGCCCCACAATCACCTTTGCAAGCTGGTGCCTCTGGCCCCAACTGTTCCCCTGTGGACATTTCACCGCCCTGCCCCAATCTGTGATAGATGAGACAACCGTCGTTTGTAAGGAACACAGGGAGCTGACTTATACCAACCTAGTACTGTCCACCCTGGCAAAGGGATCTCCAAGGTTTCACACAGGGGTTCTCTCCCAGCCCTGCGTCCAAAGATGTTTGGGATTAAATTTGAGACCTTCTACATGCACAGAAGGGACACAGGTGGCGCTGTGGGTTAAGCCTAGGACTTGCCGATCAGAAGGTCGACAGTTCGAATCCCCATGACGGGGTGAGCTCCTGTTGCTCAGTTCCTGCTCCTGCCAACCTAGCAGTTCAAAAGCATGTCAAAGTGCAAGTAGATAAATAGGTACCACTCTGGCGGGAAGGTAAATGGCTTTTCTGTGCGCTGCTCTGGTTCGCCAGAAGTGGCTTAGTCATGCTGGCCACATGACCCGGAAGCTGTACGCCGGCTCCCTTGGCCAGTAAAGTGAGATGAACGCCGCAACCCCAGAGTCGGTCATGACTGGACCTAATGGTCAGGGGTCCCTTTACCTTTACACATGCACAGAAGATGCTTTGTCACTGAGCTATGGCCCTAGGTGCACCCCAGTGCAGGTTATCTGAGATTCCTAAGAGATTCCGTCCTGTTTGAGCTTGGGGGAAGAAACTGGCACTTTTAACTGTCAGGCTCTTGTTGTTTCCCAGGGCTTCTTCAACTCTCTCCGACCTGAGCTGACTGATTATCCTGGGATAAGTATAATTAACATCTGCCCGGGGCCTGTGCAGTCACAGATCATACAAAACGTCTTCACTGAAGATATTGCGAAGGTAAGAAAGGTTGAGATGATTAAAGGACCGTGTTAACTGGGATTAGAAGAGGCTGTGAAATCAAAGAAATATAGTTAAGGGTCATTACAGCTGTGCACAGAGTTGGATATCACCTAGAGTTGTCACTAAATATTTATAAAGCTAGTTTATTAAGTAGTTTAACCTAGAAGCCTCATTGAATTCAATAGGACTAACCTCTGAGCAGACATGGTTAGGATTGCACCGTAAAACATTATTCCTCCATAAGCTAATAACTCACCGCTTATTAATCGAAGCCAGAACAACAACAAAATCACACAAGGTTCTTCATGAATGGATTCCAGTCTCTAGATGGCTTCATATTATCCTCCTTGGAAGCACAATGGAAATAATTTTTTTTTTTTTAAAAAAAAAGACCCACAGCGCCTTGTATGACAGCTTCCAGGTAAAGAGGGTACAGTCCTCCCAGGACTGTACCACTTCAGGACACGGGTGGGGCAATCATGTCTCCGAATGCTCCCCCACATTTCCCCCCTCCCAAAGGTGCCGACACATATAGGAAACGTGCAAGTCTAGAACAAGCTTAGGCTAGCCAATGCGATGCTCTCCAAATACAACTCCATGCTGGGGCGAGTTTTGTGCTTTTGTCAGGTGTTCTGTGTGGTGCCGAATTTCGTGTCCCAGCTATGGGTTTTGAAAGGCCAAACACAGTAGCCTTCACAGAGGCAACTCTGGTCTGCCACTTGCACAGATCTTCCTTTGTCTTGCTGGCTATTCTGTAATCCTCTGGCAAGGCCAAACTCTTATGTAGTCATAGCCCGTAAATCCAAATTGTTCCAGCTGGCCTCTCGTCCACTTTTGTTTTTTTTAAAGCAAGAAACTTTCAGGTTGCAAAGCAGTTTCTTCTTAAAATGCAACGGAGCACCAATCGCTCGCAGTGACTGAATTTATGATTAATGTGCCTGAACATTGTTCAGATAAGTAAGACTGAAAGAGTTCGTACCAAGCCTTTTCAGACAATAATATAAAGGTAAAGGTACCCCTGCCCATACGGGCCAGTCTTGACAGACTCTAGGGTTGTGCGCCCATCTCACTCTATAGGCCGAGGGCCAGCGCTGTCCGGAGACACTTCCGGGTCACGTGGCCAGCGTGACAAGCTGCATCTGGCGAGCCAGCGCAGCACATGGAACGCCGTTTACCTTCCCGCTAGTAAGCGGTCCCTATTTATCTACTTGCACCCGGGGGTGCTTTTGAACTGCTAGGTTGGCAGGCGCTGGGACCGAGCGACGGGAGCGCACCCCGCCGCGGGGATTCGAACCGCCGACCTTTCGATCGGCAAGTCCTAGGCGCTGAGGCTTTAACCAACAGCGCCACCCGCGTCCCCAGACAATAATATCTCAGCTCAAATAAGTCAAGACATTGTTTAGGTAGCTTTGTGGCCTACTCAAGCTGCTCGTAAGATAGTGATCCAGTTTAGGGGAACAGCTTTTTCTATCAACTTGGGGTCACACAATCTAGGCCTCTTTTCTCATAAGCCCCTGCCCCCAACTCAGGATAATTCTTCCCATGAATACTTGACACCCCTTTTGGCTGTCTAGAACTCTCCCCGACTTTTAGGCCCCAGGTCTCCACACTGCGCACCCCTCCCACTAAGGCACGGATGGGAATACAGGGATTGCGGGAGTTGGGAGTACAACAAGGTCTAGGGCACCAGAGGTTCCTTAACCGTGTCCTAGGGGTTACCTTCAAAGATATATGACACACACAGACTTTGTTAGAAAGGTGAACACAGCCCCTTTGTTTACGATGGGGACATAAAAACCAGATCTTTGCTTACTAAGATGAGAGATTGTTTTTTTTATAAAGATTTATATTCCGCCCCTCACTATTAGTGATCTCAGGGCAGGTCAAAACAATTTCAGACACAAAGAAGAAAGCAAAAAAGTACCCTTAAAAAATCTTACCAGTCCCTCTATTAAACATGACAAAGATAAGATTGTCCAAATGTGGTCACTGTAATAAATTCATTGGGTGTACTGTGAGTTCTTGCTTGATTAAAACTCAGCATAAATGGGCAACGGCAAAATGCCACATTTTCTACTCTTAGCACAGATACAGCCTTCTGAAAGTGGACTGGCATATTGAACTGTGTCCCTTTTACGCTGATATGATTGTATCAATGCCTCCAGCTTGGGGGCAGCTGTCAGTATCTCAGCTCACAGGCAGAGGTACCTGGCCTCCCCCGAGGCAAACTGAGTGAGATACTTGTTTACCTTCCGTCTGCGTCTGCCGGCAGACTAGGTCGTAAACAGGCGATTCTCCTCATTAGACGTGAGGAGAACACACCCTCTGCTTCTCTCTTCCAGCTTTCCCCGCCCCCCCAGGGAGGGGAAATGAGACAGACAGGAGTCTATTTTACATGTTTTATTCCTGACATTCAGCAGCACATAGAAATGCAACTGCACCCTTCAGACTCCATTAGAAGAGTCACAACTCCACCCCTGTACTTCCAGCACAGGTCAGATGACACACTGAGCTAACATCCGGTGCTCAGCACAGAGAAAAGACTCCCCCTTTTCTCCAAGAGTACATCTCCAGACAGCAACATCCTGTTTTGCATTCCAGCCACCTGCAGCTGGCTTTTGCATTGCTGCTTTTATCCAACAGCAGCATGGGCCAATTCCCATCCAGCTCACCTGCCTCCTAGCTCACACCTGGCACAGGTGTGACAAACCTATTTGGCCTGGCCGGTTAGATCTTACACTGTAGGGGGGGCAGGAATTATAATTTATCTTAAAAACCATTGTAAACAGTTAAAATTGTTAGTAGGATTGGAATAACACTTGCGGTTTACTGGTGAATTTCGGACAAAATGGAGATGTAAAATATTTGGATTATTATAAAAGATGCAGGAGGAAATGACTAACAATAGGACCCACAAAGGGGAGGAGGGATGTTCAGGAGACTCTATGGAATCTTGCTTTTAAGTTTTATGTTGTATATGTGATTGTAAAACGGCAATCTAAAAAATCAAATACCGTATTTTTTGCTCTGTAAGACTCACTTTTTTCTTCCTAAAAAGGGGAAATGTGTGCGCGTCTTATGGAGCGAATGCAGGCTGCGCAGCTATCCCAGAAGCCAGAACAGCAAGAGGGATCGCTGCTTTCATTGCGCAGCGATCCCTCTTGCTGTTCTGGCTTCTGGGATTCAGAATTTTTTCTTTCTTGTTTTCCTCCTCCAAAAACTAGGTGCGTCTTGTGGTCTGGTGTGTCTTATAGAGCGAAAAATACGGCAAATAATTAAAAAAGAAAGATCTTATGCGGCAAACCACTCTGTGATCCTCGGGAGATCGCATGCTCCCTCTCCAGCTTACTCTGTTCCCTAACCCACTGCTTTCCCGTCCAGGCAAATGCAAACGTTGGGGATCAGTCTCACAAAATGGAAACCGGCCGTTGCGTGCGACTAACACTGATCAGCATGGCTAACGATATAAAGGAAGCCTGGATCAGCGACCATCCCTACCTGGCAGTCTGTTACCTCTGGCAATACACACCTACCTGGGCGTGGTGGTTGTTGAACCGCCTAGGGAAGAAGCGAATTGAGAATTTCAAAAGAGGAGAGGTACGTCCTTCAAGCAAGAGCTGTTCTTATGTCCCGGTATCACTCTAGCCCAGGGTTTCGCAAACTTGGGTCTCCTCCTGCTGTTTACGGACTACAAGTCCCATCACCCCTGGCCACTAGGGATGATGGGACTTTATCCCTGGCCTAAGGATGATGGGACTTGTAGTCCAGCAACAGCTGGAGATACCCAAGATTGGGAAACTCTGCTCTAGCCTATTCAGCCAGAAACAATGTGTGCTGAAGGGCTTTGGAGGCTGAGTCTTCATTTGCCCCCTTGCAGTGCATTGTCTCAACCCACTTTGTGGGCTGCTCGCTGCTCATCCTATATATGGGCCGAAGTGTTCAGATCAGTCTGCTGCACGGCCAGGGAAAAAACAATGCTGTCCAGGGTTGTAAAGACTGCGGAGAGAATAATTGGGTGCACTCTTCCCACCTTCGATCAAATCTATGCTGCCAGGTGCCATAAGAAAGCGGCAGAGATAGCGCAGGATAGTACGCACCCCGGAAATGATCTCTTTCAGCTTCTGCCTTCTGGAAGAAGGTACAGGGTTATAAAGACTAGGACTAGCCGCCTGAGAAACAGTTTCTACGCAAATGCAATTCTGGTTCTAAACGCAGCATAAGGGGTCTCTATAGTATAGTGTATTTTATAGTATAGTGTATTTTTTAGTATAGGGACGCGGGTGGCGCTGTGGGTAAAAACCTCAGCGCCTAGGACTTGCCGATCGCCAGGTTGGCGGTTCGAATCCCCGCGGCGGGGTGAGCTCCCACTGCTCGGTCCCAGCGCCTGCCAACCTAGCAGTTCGAAAGCACCCCCGGGTGCAAGTAGATAAACGGGGACCGCTTACTAGCGGGAAGGTAAACGGCGTTTCCGTGTGCTGCGCTGGCTCGCCAGATGCAGCTTGTCACGCTGGCCACGTAACCCGGAAGTGTCTTCGGACAGCGCTGGCCCCCGGCCTCTTGAGTGAGATGGGCGCGCAACCCCAGAGTTGGACACGACTGGCCCGTACGGGCAGGGGTACCTTTACCTTTATAGTATAGTATAGTATAGTATAGTATAGTATAGTATAGTATAGTATAGTGTATTTTAAAATGGGGTTTCAGAGTTTTTAGGGGTTTTTGAACGTTTTGTGTAGTTTTTCAATTTCCTTGTTCTGTATGGGACAACGGCAACAAAGATATCGTATATCATTTTATTGGAGGGTTTTAAAATGAGAAATTAGCAGGATCCGGTTTCATGCTGTTTGCCAGAAGAGGTGGAAGAAGCAGCATCAGAACAAAAGGCATCCTCTCACATCTCCTGCCTTTGCAGTATTCATCCAGGTTCCCAGAGTGTCTTTTCAAAAGCTGTAGGGGGAGGAAGAGGGGAGGGGCAGGTGGTGGCAAAGGCTCTGGCCCACCTCTTTGGATCCTTCCTCAAGTTACGCTCTCTGAATCCCATGATGCATTAAAGCTATCAGGCAGTGAAAGTGGTCCTCTTTCCTACAGCCCAGTTGGACGAGTGTTTAAAAAATGTTCTTTGTTCTCTGTAACCCACCCAACTGATTGGGTTGCCCCAGGCACTCTGGGCGGCTTCCAACAAATATAGAAGCATAATAACATTTTAAATATTTAATCAAACATTAAAAACTTCCCTATGCAGGGCTGTCTTCAGGTGTCTTCTAAAAGCTGTGGATAGATAATTTATTACGGTCGGAGACCGTTGATCTCCTTGGCATCTGATGGGAGGGTATTCCACGGGGTGAGCGCCACTGCTGAGAAGGCCCTCTGCCTGGTTCCCTGTAACCTCACTTCTTGCAGTCAGGGAACCACCAGAAGGCCCTCGGAAGTGGATCTCAGCGTCCGCGCTGAACAATGGGGGTGGAGATGCTTCTTCAGGTATACAGGGCCTCTCCTTCGGGTATACTTAAGTATAAATGAAATTAAGAGCAGTCTGGACTAAGTTGTGCTTTTTGTTCATTGCAGGACGCTGATATTTCTTACTACAAAAAATCTTCTTAAAGGAGCATTATGTTCTCCTTTTCACCGATACCAGCATAAGGAGGAGGAAGAACCCCGGCTTTAAGTACACATTCTTTTTTGAGGATAAGGAATGACGTTATAATACGTAACCCATACCTGTTCCACTATAGTCTCTTGAATAAAAAATGATTTTATAGCGCTTGTTGATACTGTAGTGTGGTTAGCCACCAAAAACCTTTACTACCTGGCCTTTCATGGTGCTATCTTCTGCTGTATGCTAGGGGGACCATTCAAATCTACACCCCATCCCAGTATTTTCTCAGGCCCTGCCTTAATGTCTTTAGTGACTCATTTACTGTTTTTGCATCTTCCTTCATTTCAAGACCTCAGGATACAAAAAAAGAATGTTAATATATGCAGGTGTCTCTCTCCAAACAATGCACTCTCAGGAAAACGTTTGTTAGGCGAGCGCTTGCATAAAGTCAGCCATTTCCATTGATTCCTATGGGGAAATTTCTAATGTGTTCCTGACCATGGAATTTTCACCTCAAAATGATGGGGGGGGGCACTGGAAAACCCTCTGAAAGCTTGCGAAAGGCAAACAAGGAAGGGAGGTGGGAAAGCTCTCTACAGTTGTCCAATCCCCCTTCCTGCCTTCTTCTGGTGAAATGGCTGCTATCTACCAGCAAAACACAAATAAGTAAGGCTTGCTTAAGGCTGCTTATTTGTTTAAACAGGTCTGGCTGTTTGGATATCTGAATCTGCAGTGGGTATAACGAGGTTTGGGTACTAATTCCTCGTTTTTGGATGGATTTTTGCATAATGAGCGTTTGGATAGTGGGACCTGCAGTTACACAAAAAGGGCCAAGCTTTTATCTACCGCCTCCATTTTCTTACTGAATGCTACTAAGGCAGTGCTGTGTTCTTAAAGTGGTTTTCACTATATTTACATTTATGAAGAAAAGTACTTTGGCAGCAGTTAGATCTCATGTTGACTTTTAGCCTGGCTTTCTCCCGTGTGGCGATGAGAACCCAAAGCTGCTTCAAATTTAAAAGATTAATTCAAATGAGCCTTAAACGTGTCTTGATTATAGTTAGTAAAAACTTGATTATAGTTAGTAAAAACAAAGGTTCACAAGCTTACGCATTGACGCTGGCTTCTTTCTGCTTTTCATCATCAAGGCTAGCCGTTCAAACAACACGGCAAGCTGCTATTAATTAGAAGCAGAAATTTCGGAGCTCCTTCCTGTGGGTGTGCAGGAAGGAAGGGGGAGGAGAGAGATTGCATGAAAGGGGGCGGGTGGTTTGAGTTGCCTTTGAAGCACTTGGCCTCCTTAAATGGGACACCTAGTAAGTCTCATGCCAAAATGTAAGTGGAAGAGCAGGATGGGAAGATACTGAAAGTTAAAGGGCAATTCAAACTAATGCTAAAAAGAAGCAAAACGAGGTTGGGAAGCCTTTTCTACTCCCAAAAATTCCAGATGTTCATTTCCATGTTCTACAGCAGTCATTCTAAAGTACTCTGAGGCAGGAAATATTACATGAGATTTGTTTTTCCACCTTGCAGGGTACAGGTAAAAACTTGGGTTTCAAACCTCTCCTTGCTTATAGGAATTTTGGTCCCAGTGATTTCAGTGTTATCTAGAGCAGTGTTTCCCAACCTTGGGCCTCCAGCTGTTTTTGGACTACAACTCCCATCATCCCTAGCTAGCAAGACCAGTGGTCAGGGATGATGGGAATTGTAGTTCAAAAACAGCTGGAGGCCCAAGGTTGGGAAACACTGATCTAGAGATGGGCACATTAGCAGAGCAAGCTCTTCCACTTGCCAGGCTTATTGCACCATGAGACTGTTTGCACCAAAGTAAGAGTATCCGGCTTGCTATATTTGAAAAGAACTCGCTGCAGGCTGAACAGATGTATTATTGAGTGTTTCTTCAAGTATCACTTTGACAATGCAAATAAAGCTATACAATATAAACAAGTGATAAAATCCAAGTGTGGTCTTTCAAAATCGGGGGAAAGCTTTCATCCTATGTACATTTTTGTACTAACCTGTGGTTTCAAAGTATGTAAGCTGTGACCTGCCTTCTAATGCAAGTCACCTGTCAAGTTACTGATTTTTCATTTAAAAAAACAACAACCTTGCAGAATACATCAGTGAGCTTATTGCCTGCTTTTAAGTCTTCTCCCAGCTTCTCCCTCCATCAGCCCAACAAGGATCAGAGGTTCAGACATCACTGGGGCTGAAAGAGACACGTTCATAATATTGCTGCCCAAAAAAAAAACGGCCTCTTCTGCTGCCACCGACATCTTTGGCAACTTAAGTTTTCCTTGCTGCAAGAGTCAAGAAAATTAATGCAGTTTTTCTTTAGGAAACCAAAGGGCCAAGGGTCAAGTTCTAGAGCAAAGGTACATGGAGAGGCTCGCAGGAATAAACTGGGTAGCCCAGGGGAGGATCTGCTGCTTGTATGGTCAGGTTCCTTAGGAGGACAGGATGAGCTTGGATACTGTAGCGTTCCTCGTCGTCGTTGGTGGCATAGAGCAGCTCCCAGGAAAGGTTTGCCCACTGCCCTCTAACAGCTTCGCTGTTCAGTTTCCCCACTTGCACTAGGAATTCCTGAAGGGTGAGGACTCTGCTGGTATAAACTCCCTGAAAGACAAGGCACATACAGTCATACCTTGGGTTACAGATGCTTCGGGTTGCGCACTGCCCTGAACCCGGAAGTACCGGAACAGGTTACTTCTGGGTTTCAGCGCTCACACATGTGCAAAAACACTAAATTGCGCTTCGCGCATGCGCAGAATCGCAACCTGTGTGCGCACAGGCGCGGCGCTGCGGGTTGCGAATGTACCTCCCACGCGGATCACATTCACAACCCGAGCGTCCACTGTATGTGGGAAATCAGCGCTCTTGTGTATTGCTGACAGCAGATTCTGACCCATCAGAGGCTTGTCGTTGGAATGGGGAGGAAGGCAGTTTTTCACTCAAATACTCTAGAGTTTAGGGTGGGGGACACTTCAAAGTAGTGTGGGAGATGGTGACGGGGTTGCAGAGTGAAGGACCATAGCTCAATGGTAGAGCATCTGCTTTGCATGTAGAAGGCCGCTCGTTCAACCCCCAAGATCTCCAGGTAGTGTTGGGAATGTCCCGTGTCAAACCCTGGAGAGCCACTTCCAGTCAGTGTACACACTACTGAGCTAGGCAGACCAAACTCTGTATAAAGCATCTAACCATCATCATCATCATCATCATCATCATCATCATCATCATCAATTATTTACACCCCACCCATCTGGCTGGGTTTCCCCAGCCACTCTGGGCAGCTCCCAATTGAATATTAAAACACAATACAGCATTAAACATTAAAAACTTCCCTAAACAGGGCTGTCTTCAGATGTCTTTTAAAAGTAGGAGAGTTGCTTATTTCCTTGACATCTGATGGGACGGCGCCACTACCGAGAAGGCCCTCTGCCTGGTTCCCTGTAACCTCACTTCTCGTAGTGAGGGAACCGCCAGAAGGCCCTCGCTGCTGAATCTCTGTGTCCGGGCTGAACATAGAGGTGGAGACGCTCCTTCAGGTATACAGGACCGAGGCTGTTTAGGGCTTTCAAGAGACCCAACACTTTGAATTGTGCTCAGAAACGTACTGGGAGCCAATGTAGGTCTTTCAAGACCAGTGTTATGTGGTCTCTGCGGCCGCTCCCAGTCACCAGTCTGGCTTCCACATTCTGGATTAGTTGCAGTTTCCGAGTCACCTTCAAAGGTAGCCCCACGTAGAGCGCATTGCAGTAGTCCAAGCGAGAGATAACTAGAACATGCACCACTCTGGCAAGACAGTCTGCGGGCAGGTAGGGTCTCAGCCTGCGTACCAGATGGAGCTGATAAACAGCTGCCCTGGACACAGAATTGACCTGTGCCTCCATGGACAGCTGCCAGTCCAAAATGACTCCTAGACTGTGCACCTGGTCCTTCAGAGGCACAGTTACCCCATTCAGGACCAGGGAGTCCCAAACACCCGCTGCCCCTCCAAAACAGTACTTCTGTCTTGTCAGGATTCAACCTCAATCTGTTAGCCGCCATCCATCCTCCAACCGCCTCCAGGTACTCACACAGGACCTTCTCCGCCTTCACTGGTTCTGATTTAAAAGAGAGGTAGAGCTGGATATCATCCACATACTAATGAACCCCCAGCCCAAACCCCCTGATGATCTCTCGCAGCAGCTTCATGTAGATGTTGAAAAGCATGGGGGAGAGGACTGAACCCTGAGGCACCCCACAAGTTGAGAGCCCAGGGGTCTGAATACTCATCCCCCAACCCCACTTTCTGGACATGGCCCAGGAGAAAGAAGAACCACTGTATAACAGTGCCCCCAGCTCCCAGCCCCTCTAGACAGTCCAGAAGGATGTTATGGTTGATGGTATCAAAGACTGCTGAGAGATCCAGCAGAACTAGGAAACAGCTCTCACCTTTGTCCCTAACCCGCTGGAGATCATCGACCAGTGCGACCAAGGCAGTTTCAATCCCATGGTGAGGCCTGAATCCTGATTGGAAGGGATCCAAATGGTCCGCATCCTCCAGGCATGCTTGGAATTGTTCAGCAACCACCCGCTCAATCACCTTGCCCAAGAATGGAAGATTTGAAACTGGGCAATAGTTGGCCATATTGGCTGAGTCGAAAGAAGTTTTTTAAAGAAGCGGTTTAATGACCGCCTCTTTCAGCGGGTCTGGGAAGGCTCCCTCGCAGAGGGAAGCATTCACCACCCCACAGAGCCCATCGCCCAGCCCTTCCTGGCTCACTTTTATTAGCCAGGATGGGCAAGGATCAAGGAGACAGGTGGTTGGTTTCACTTGTCCAAGCAGCCTGCTCACATCCTTGGAAGTAACAGATTGGAATTGATCCCATATAACATAACTAGACAGGACTCCAGCACTCTCCTGCCCCAGCCCTGCTCCCACAGTGGAGTCTACCTCCTTCCAAATCTGAGTGACTTTATCTGCAAAAAACTTTGCAAAAGCATTGCAGGAGATCTTGGGGTCCCTACCAGGCCCTGGTGACAAAGGTGGTTCCGATAGATTGCGAACCACCTGAAAGAGTCTCCTGCTGCTGTTTTCTGCAGTTGCAATAGTGGCAGTGAAGAAGGTCCTCTTCGCCGTCGCTATTTGGTAGGCTCAACATTGAGCTCTAACCCGTGTCCAGT